TGCTGGTAGTTGGCAAAGATGTGTGTGAAAGATGGTGGGTAACAAAGTTGTGTGTGAAAGATGGTGTGTGACAAAGTTAAGATGTGTGTGAAAGATGGTGTGTGAAAGTGTGAAAGATGGTGTGTGACAAAGCTGTATGTGAAAGATGGTGTGTGAAAGATGGTGTGTGACAATGTGTGTGAGAGATTGTGTCTGAAAGATGGTGTGCGAAAGATGGTGTGTGTGTGAGAGATTGTGTGTGAAAGATGGTGTGTGAAAGATGGTGTGTGACAAAGTTGTGTGTGAAAGATGGTGTGTGACAATGTGTGAGAGGCGGAGCCGGCGGAGGGGGCGGAGGAGGAGGAGGAGGACGAGGAGGCGGGATACAGAACCAAAGACTAGAACCCCACAAAAAGATGTGGGGGAAAAGAGAGGAAACACCACTATTTACCAAAAATAGCGATAATACTCGGGGTCGCGCCATCTGCCAAAAATAACGATTTTACGGACAGGCTGCGCCATCTACCGTCGCTATTTAATGATTTTTTTGCGCAATCTATGATCACCGAGGTGTATCATCTAACAAGTATCATCACATACGATCTAACAAGCATCATCATATATCATCTAACAAGTATCATCATATATCATCTAACAAGTATCATCACATATGGTCTAACAAGCATCATCACATACGATCTAACATGTATCATCATATATCATCTAACAAGTATTATCATATATCATCTAACAAGTATCATCACATATCATCTAACCAGTATCATCATATATCATCTAACAAGTATTATCAAATATCATCTAACAAGTATTAACATACATCTAACAAATATCATCATATATCATCTAACAAGTATCATCATATATCAACAAGTATCAACATAAATCATCTAACAAGAATCAACATATATCATCTAACAAGAATCAACACATATCACCTAACAAGTATCAACATATATCATCTAACAAGTATCAACATATATCATCTAACAAGAATCAACATATTCATCTAACAAGAATCAGCATATATCAAATATCATCTAACAAGTATCAACATAAATTATCTAACAAGAATCAACATATATCATCTTGTTTAACAAGAATCATCATATATCATCTAACAAGTATCATCATATATCACCTAACAAGTATCACCATATATCATCTAACAAATATCATCATATATCACCTAATAAGTATCATCATATATCATCTAACAAGTATCATCATATATCATCTAACAAGTATCGTCAAATACCACCTAACAAGTATCATCATATATCACCTAACAAGTACCAGTAGTACCGCACAAGGCGTTGGCGGAAGCTTCAAAAATAGGAAACCTATAGGAGAGGTTGGTTGTTGTGAGTCAGGGATGGCAAAGCGAAGCCACTGATGGACCGAAAGGTGCTTGAGGTCTCCTCTCTGTCTCTCTCTTTCTCTGACTATCTACTTACCTACCAGCCTATCTTCTATGTATCTATCTATCGATCTATCCATCTCTCTCTTTCTCTCTTTCATCTCATTATCTATCTACCTATCCACCTATCTACCTATCTACCTATCTACCTATCTACCTATCTACCTATGTACCTATCTACCTATCTATCTATATATCTATGTATGTATCTATCTATCTATCGATCTATCGATCTATCTATCGATCTATCTATCTATCTACCTATCTATCTATCTACCTACCTATCTATCGATCTATCTATCTATCTACCTATCTTTCTAACTATCTATCTATCTATCTATCTTTCGATCTATCTATCTATCTATCTATCTCTCTCTCCCTTTCATCTGTCTATCTGTCTAGCTGTTTACCTGTCTATCTGTCTAGCTGTCTATCTGTCTATCTATCTATCTATCTTTCGGTCTATCTATCTATCCCTATCTATCTCTCTCTCTCTCTCTCGCTTTCATCTGTCTATCTGTCTGTCTGTCTGTCTATCTATCAATTTTTCTATCCATCTATCTATCGAGCTAACTATCTCTCTATCTGTTTGTCTATCTGTCTATCTATCGATCAAATGCTCTCTCTCTCTATATATATATAAATATATCTCTCTCTCCCTCTCTCTCTCTATCTGTCTGTCCGTCTATCTGTCTATCTGTCTATCTATCTGTCTATCTGTCTATCTATCCGTCTATGTCTCTACCCATCTACTTCTCTATTTGTCTTGGTATCTAACTATCTGTCTATGTGTCTATGTATCTATCTGTCTATCTCCTCATCTATTTCTCTAGCTGTCTCTCTGAATATTTATCTATCTGTCTGTCTGTCGATCTATCTATTTGTCTATCTGTCTGTCTGTCCATCTATCTATTTATCTATCTGCCTGTCTGTCCATGTATCTATGTCTCTATCTATCTGTCTATCTATCGATCTATCTATCTATCGATCTATCTATCTCTCTATCTATCTGTCTATCTATCTATCTCTCTATGTATCTATCTATCTCTCCATGTATCGATCTATGTATATATCGATGTATCTATCTATCTATCTATCTATCTATCTATCTATCTGTCTGTCTGTCTGTCTGTGTGTCTATCTGTCTATCTGTCTATCTTTCTGTCTTTCTATCTATCTATCTATCTGTCTGTCTGTCTGTCTGTGTGTCTGTCTATCTGTCTAGCCATCTATCTATCTATCTCATCTACCCAGCTGGCCTCTCTCTCTCTTTCATCTAATTACCTATCCATCTATCTATCTACCTACCTGTCTATCTATCTCTCCCTTTCATCTGTCTATCTGTCTAGCTGTCTATCTGTGTTGCAGTGTAATTAAGTGTAATGTAGTGTGGTGTAATGTAATTTAGTGTAGTGGAGTGTACTGGAGTGTAATGTAGTGTAGTGTACTGGAGTGTAGTGTAGTGTAATGTCCTGTAGTGTAGTGTCTTGAAGCGAAGCGACATCTGAACCTCCAAAAGTTTTCCGCACCCCTAGTGTTTTGTACATTTTGACGCCACAACGGCGTGCACTTTTTCGACATCTCAACTTCCAAAAGTGGTCCGACGCTGGTGTGCTTTCTGCATTTTGACTTCGAAATGTGCTTCGCGCAACAACGGCGTGCACTTGTTCAACATCTCAACTTCCAAAAGTGGTCCGAGAATGGTGTGCTTTGTACATTTTGACTTCGAAATGTCTTCGCGCAACAAATGTGCATTCGTCCGCCATTTTGACTTCGAAACGGCGTGCACTTTTTCGACATCCGAACCTCCAGAAGTGGTCCGACAATGGTGTGTTTTGTACATTTTGACTTGGAAATGTGCTTCGCGCCACAACGGCGTGCACTTTTTCGACATCTCAACTTCCAAAAGTGGTCCGAGAATGGTGTGCTTTGTACATTTTGACTTGGAAATGTGCTTCGCGCCACAACGGCGTGCACTTTTTCGACATCGCAACTTCCAAAAGTGGTCCGAGAATGGTGTGTTTTGTACATTTTGACTTCCAAATGTGCTTCGCGCCACAACGGCGTGCAATTTTTCATCTCTCCTCTGGCCAGATGGCTCCGCACCCGCCGCTTTAGCGAGCCTACTTTTCGACCCCCCGGAGCCACAAATCATTGGAAAAACACAGTGAATCGCGACTTTCCTACCTTTTCGCGCATCTCCATCTTCTTTCTTCTTACTCTTTCTCTTCTACCCTTTTCTCTTCTGATCTTTCTCTTCTCTGGGCCTCTGCCCTGCTCTGCTTTTCATCTGTCCATATTGTCGGAAGTTTGACTTCTAAACTTCCTTCGATCATCATATATCAGTAGTACCGCACAAGGCGGTGGCGGAAGTTTCAAAAATAGGAAACCTATAGGAGAGATTGGCTGTTGTTGTGCATCAGGGATGGGAGAGCGAATCCACTGATGGACCGAAAGGTGCTTGAGGTCTCCTCTCTTTCTCTCTCTTTCTCTGACTATCTACTTACCTACCAGCCTATCTTCTATGTATCTATCTATCGATCTATCTATCTCTCTCTTTCTCTCTTTCATCTCATTATCTATCTACCTATACCTATCTACCTATCTACCTATCTACCTATCTACCTATCTACCTATCTACCTATGTACCTATCTACTATCTATCTATATATCTATCTCTCTCTCTCTCTCTCTCTGTCTCTCTCTCTCTCTCTCTTTCATCTGTCTATCTGTCTAGCTGTCTACCTGTCTGTCTATCTATCTGTCTATCTGTCTACCTGTCTATCTGTGGTGCAGTGTCATTCAGTGTAATGTAGTGTAGTGGAGTGTAGTGTAGTGTAATGTAGTGTAGTGTAGTGAAGCGAAGCGACATCTGAACCCCTGGTGCTTTTAACATTTTGACTTCGAAATGTGCTTCGCGCCGCAACGGCGTGCACTTTTTCGACATCCGAACCTCCAAAAGCGGCGCGAACATGTAGTGCTTTGTACATTTTGACTTCGAAATGTGCTTCGCGCCACAACGGCGTGCACTTTTTCGACATCTGAACCTCCAAAAGTGGCGCGAACATGTAGTGTTTTGTACATTTTCACTTCGAAATGTGCTTCGCGCCACAACGGCGTGCACTTTTTCGACATCTCAACTTCCAAAAGTGGCATTTTGACTTCGAAATGTGCTTCGCGCCACAACGGCGTGCACTTTTTCGACATCGCAACTTCCAAAAGTGGTCCGAGAATGGTGTGTTTTGTACATTTTGACTTCCAAATGTGTTTCGCGCCACAACAGCGCGCAACTTTTCATCTCTCCTCTGGCCAGATGGCTTGCACCCTCCGCTTTAGCGAGCCTACTTTTCGACCCCCCGGAGCCACAAATCATTGGAAAAACACAGTGAATCGCGACTTTCCTACCTTTTCGCGCATCTCCATCTTCTTTCTTCTTACTCTTTCTCTTCTACCCTTTTCTCTTCTGATCTTTCTCTTCTCTGGGCCTCTGCCCTGCTCTGCTTTTCATCTGTCCATATTGTCGGAAGTTTGACTTCTAAACTTCCTTCGATCATAATGTTATATCATAATGTATCAGTTCAGCTCAGAGACACATCAAGACCGCTTTTCTCCGTCCCATAGTGTCGCCGACCCAGCCGCTGAGGAGATTCCCCAAAAGGACGCCCACATAGACCGACGATCTGAGCTGGGAAAGTCATTGATCACTGGGCCAAATGGGTTGCAGTACATTGGCATCGGCTGTTAGGGGCTATAGTTGCCTTTACGTCAAGAGATGTTAAGAGCGACAAGACTTTCTGTGGATCAAATGTACGAATGCAAGGTTGACAAATGTTGACAAGGTTTCCCACAACTCTTAGTACGAAATAATACAAGTGCCTTGTTGGTCAAATCAACTTGTCCTGGCCAAGAACCATCATCGTCGGGAGCTCGCAAATTTGGGATCAAACGTACAAACTTACTTCACCTTCCAAATCTTGACCGAAGGGCAGCAAGAGACCTTTTTGAAGAGGACTGAGACCCCACTCCGTAGCCAAAATGGTGTTGATTGAACTCAGCACCAGCAATTCACAGCCATCTGCAAGCCATGATCCATTCACCAAAAAACCTCAGCATCAACAAAACACCAGGTCGGCTAGGGTCAGATGGAGTTGTGCAACGTTGGATAAACGATCGGATGTTGATAGTCAGGAAAAATCAAATACCTGAAATCATCCCGAAAAATAACATTCCGAAATAAGAGGATCCAGGATAAGTGTGACTCAAACCAGGATGGCGTTGCTTTTGCCACCACCACGAGCACCAATGACCATCACTACCACAAGCAGCAACAACGACATCAGCAGTAAAAACAAACATCGCATCCCAAACATACAGCCAAAATGCAAATGCCACCAGAACCAGTGGTACCACAAACATGCACACCTAAATACAAATACCATCAAATACCAAGCTGCAGGTCACTATCTGGGCAGGACCATATCCGATACTCTCGATCACATCGGAGATACTTCGTTTCCGCTGTTCCTGCATGGTATGAAAAACGGAAAGGCTCTTCTTTCGCAAGCGGCTATGGTTCACCGCAGCGCTTCAAAGCCATTCACGACATGGATAGAAGTAGAAGTAGACTACAGCTTGGACCCTTGAGCCAAACTTCAGTCAACTTTTCAAGTGGAATCATAGATTATCATAGTGGCATCGGGCGATTTTCAGGCCGCGGCCCCCAATATCTATTACAAGTAAGCTACCCTGTATTTTAACATGATTCAACAGTTTTTTTCCTGATAATTCCTGCAGGTATTTCGATAATTTAAGGAGTTGTTCTTAAACACTTTGGTTTGCTATTGTCATCCAGTGTCATCCAAGGACAATAAACTGCCATCTCCGTTGCTCACAGCGCCTTGTCACATCTTTGTGGGGCGCGAGCAGGATTGCCAGTACCAAACCCTGGGCATTTTGCTGAGCGACTTTGTCGGGCTCTGACTCACACTTTGAACCTGTCACTCGTTCATTTTCTTTGACCTTCTTTACCTTTCTCACCTGTGCAAAGTTTATCACACTGCTGATAGTGTATGCGTTATAAATTTAAAACGCATCTATAAATGATCTATATTGATTTACAATCATGATATATATATATATATATATATATATCCCCGTCTGGATTAGAGGGGGCACCTGGGCTGCCCCATTTTCTACAGAGACTGGGAAGTGGTCTGGGAAATGCTGGCGTTTGGAAAAAATGCTTCTGGAAAATGGCTGGGCATAAAGAATCAGGGGCCGTGCCCGGTGATGTGATAGAACCCAGGCGCATTGGCTGTGTCCTGCGAAGATTGCACACGGCATGATCATGCATCGAATTTCACACAAGCCTGGCCAACCCAAACAATGTTGCGGCAGCGCGGTGACTACACTACACGCAGAGCACGGTGCGCAGCTTGCAGGCAGCATGCAGCTGCGGCAGCCAGCGCGGCGGCGCAAAGCTGTCCGCGCTGTCCTGTGGATGCGCATGGTCATGAAGACATGGGCTTCGTTACGAAGAACGGTAGGGGTGTGATTCACACAGAGCCGCAGAGCATAATATATGTTGTGACTTTTTGTTTGCTTCGAGAAAAAAAGCAACCGCGGGCCTGGACGATGTCGAGCTCAAGGTGCTCCTCCGCACCGTCGACTCCGGCAGCATACCGGAGTTTCGCGGTGGACTTTCGGAGGAGCCATTGGTGGTCTTCGTCCTGTCATGCAGGGATGCAGATGTGGGACCAGTGACCAGTGAGATCAGCATGTCCACAGACGGTACACAGTACAGTAGTTGTACATGCCGTTACACAAGATAGGTAGCTTAGCTCGCCATGCAAGAAAAAAACGGTTGAAGTTGACTGGCCCCGTCCACGAGCAAGAGGCCCTTTCCGAGGACGTGCATCCCGGTGCCCGTCTCTGCGAGGAGACATGGGATAGCAGACCCTCCCCATCTCGGGCTGCCGGTCGACGACGGCTTTGTCGAGCAGACCCAAAGCCTGACAGGGATAGACATGTCATTTCATATGGCATACATACATTTGCCACTGAAGCACGCTTTTGAGCCTGGGCATCTTGCAAACGGATCTATGAAATGAAAGAAAAATTACGCGCAGCACAGGTGCCTCGGCCAGGGCATAGCCGATGGAGGCCTGTCCATCCGTCACGTTCCCGCCCTTCGAGTTGAAGGTGTCGTCAATGACGTGGGCTTCGGCCTGTGGGAATCTTAAGTGGGGGGGTTCGTGCTCAAGTCATATATGTTCATGCGATGCTATAGGGTGTAGAATAGTTTTTGTTTTTTTGCCTAAGGTTTTGTTTTTTTTGGCTTTCTTTCCCGGTGCCATTTGCCTTGTATTTGGAACAGTTTGGAACTAGAACCTCGTCATTTTGCATGGTATGTGCTACATTTTGGCATGGTCACTTTGCATTTTGCGTGGTATTTGCTACATTTGGCCATGTTTGCCTTCCATTTTGCATATGTTTGTCATATTTTGGCATTTCAACCTCTGATTTGCATGGTTTTTCCTACGTTTTCGTGCTTCAAACGTTCATGTGGGTCTCCTTCAAATGCCCGCCTGCATGACTGGCCATGGCAGCCAAAGCAACGTCAGCCTCGTCAGCAAGCTCCACAAAGCCTTGCGCGAATTCGCAGGGAGCCCAACCCGAGTGGCGCGAATGGACATGGTAATGCAGCCAAGATGCTAGTATGACAAGGAAGGTTGGAGCACCAAGTAGCCAACAGAATTGAGAGGCCCACGTCTGGCAATTTCTGTACAGCACATTGTAGCGTTTGCCCTCGTATTTCTCGATGGCGGCTTGAACCTCTTGCTCCGTGACCTTCCCCACATGATGGACGAGCAAATTCCCAGCCCAAAGTCCTCGGATGGATCTTCAATGTTCCCTCGGAAAACGATCCCCAAGCTTCCGGAAAATCTGCGCTGGTGCAACCGAGGGTCCGGGTCCCTGCGTTGAGGGTTCTTTAGGCTTTCATTTAGGGTTTCATTTAAGGTTTCATGTAGGGTTTCATTTAGTGTTTTATTTAGGGCTTCATTTGGGCTTTCATTTAGGGTTTCTATAGGGTTTCATTTAAGCTTTCTTTAGGGTTTCTTTAGGGTGTCAATTTAGGGTTTCATCTAGGGTTTCATTTAAGGTTTCTTTAGGGTGTCAATTTAGGGTTTCAGCTAAGGTGTCAGGTGAAGTTTCATTTAGTTTTTTTCAGAGTGTTGTTTAGGGTTTCTTTGGGATGTCATTTAGGGTGTCATTTTAAGTTTCTTTAGGGTTTCATTTATGGTTTCTGAAATATTAATTCATGGTTTCTTTAGGGTTCATTTATGGTTTCTTTATAGTTCATTTAATTTAGGTTTTCATGTAGGGTTTCTTATCAGGATTTCTTTAGGGTTTCTTTGGGTTTCGCCTAGGGTCTCTCTAGGGATTCATTTAGCAGAAAAGCAGAGAAGCAGGGAAAGCAAAAAGCAGAGAGGCAGAAAAGTAGAGAAGCAGGAAAAGCAGAGAAGGCAGAAAAGCAGAGAAGCAGAGAATCAGAGAAACAAGAAAGCATAGAACCCGGATTCCAAAAAAATCCAAAACCTGCCGCGAAAAAAAATAATAAATAGCCCTCCTGCTATAATCATCTTTTTTTCTGTATAGCCTGATTTGCATGTTACGCCACTGCTTTACATGAGAAAGCTGCAAGCCTCCAAGGGGAGCTGGCAGGTCGCCGAGTGAGTGCAGAGCAGCGGAACCGGGCATACGCCGTCTGCAAACTCCCCGCGTTCTCGAGCACCTGGCAAAGTTTCAAAGGCCGCAGAGCGTTGCCGCGATCATGAGACGACAATCATCATGGTGCATGGTGGCCATTGCAGAACCGAACGAATAATTGTGCACATGAGGAGCTGGGAGCCTCTGTGGCCGAGATGCTGCAGGCCAGGGGCTTTGAGGAGATGACACTACCGTCCTCACACCCACTGACCGCCTCCAAGCGCCGTGGCAAGTCCACGCTCTCGTTCCAGCGGAAGAGGGTCGCGGGTTTGTTTCCTACAGACACGATGCGGGGGTACTAAAATCCACTTTTGAAATCTTTTGAACACATTTTCTAGAGAGGCCAACTTCTCGAACTTTTTTGTTGTTAAAAAGTCTAGAAAATGACATGTTTAAAGAAAAAACGCAAACATTTTTTGTAGCTTTTTTGTCTAGAAAATGCCATAAAATTTTGGAAACAGAAAGCATGTCAAGATAATTTGTCGGATTATGTTCAGAAATTTATCTCTAAAAAATGCCTTTGCAAACTAGGAAACAAATAACCTATAGAAAATGCTAGGATTAGTTTTAGAAATATACTTCCACAAAATGGGTAAAAAGAGTGAGGCTGCACTATTTTTTCCGGGCGGAATCTCTCTTCTCGACAATCTATCTATCTATCTATCTATCTATCTAATCTAATCTAATCTAACCTAATCTAATCTAATCTAATCTATCTATCTATCTATCTTTCTATCTATCTATCTATCTATCTAATCTATCTAATCTATCTAATCTATCTAATCTATCTAATCTATCTAATCTATCTAATCTATCTAATCCATCTATCTATCTATCTATCTATCTATCTAATCATCTATCTAATCATCTATCTAATCATCTATCTAATCATCTATCTAATCATCTATCTAATCATCTATCTAATCATCTATCTAATCATGGATCTAATCATCTATCTAATCATCTATCTAATCATCTATCTAATCAATCTATCAATCTATCAATCTATCAATCTATCAATCTATCAATCTATCTATCTATCTATCTATCTATGTCATGTATACGTATTGTGTATATATTATATATATAAATATTATATTATATATATAAATATTATATTATATATATAAATATTATATTACATATATACGTCATGTATACATATTGTGTATTATATATATATATAGATCTCTATAGATCTCTAATGTCTAGGAAATGATATCTTACGCATGTCTAGAAAATGATGTTGCAAAAAAATGCGAATACCACTTCTAGAAAATGTGATGGGTTGGATTCAATAGGATTTTTGACCATTCTTTTCTAGAAAACAAGATTTTTGACCTTCGTTTTTTTGAAAATAATGTATTTTTTAGAAAATGACAGAAGACTAGAAAATGCAATCTGAATCAACATGATGGATATTCTTCTAGAAAATGAGCTGGTTTATATCGTCACTTGAGAAAGGTCGTAGCGTATTTGTCACATTTTTAATCTAGAAAATGAGTGGTAAGAGGAAATAAACTCGAACCAACAATTCGACAAAAAAACACCTCAAAATCTGCTTTCTCTAGAAAATCAAACATTAAAAAAAAAAACGTAGAAAATGACCACTTGTCTGTCACCCAGGCGACCCCATTTCCTAGAGGAAATTCGGACGGGGATATATATGTATATATATAAATATTATATAATATTATAGTATTACTATGTGCGTAGATATACTCAATTCTTCCATGAAGACCCAAAACCAACATGGTTGCCTCAAAACGACCATATTGGACCATGCTCACACTGGGGACTCCACTGCGGCGATCATGGTGAAGTTGATCATCCTCCACTGGCACCAATCGCTGGTGGCTACGAGAGATCGCGTCGCCTGGCGACATGTCGCGACATGACTCAGTCTTGACAGGTGACCCATTGGGCATGTAAACATAAGGCAACTTGAACTCGCTGCGGGAACTTAGAATCTTTGCCTGACAAGTCCAGCAAATTATCTATACTTCTCTACATTACTTGCAGTCTGCTTTGGCATTAATACGTCATTCGAGCAGTCCTTGGAGCATGCTGGACCATCTTGGCACATGGCGCATCTGCTAAATTTAGTCAGCCAGAACGTTTGACTTTTCAGGATTGTTTTGTCTGCTTACGCCAAAGTTTGCAGAGTTGCTTCCAGTCCAGTTGCTCCTAGTTGACAACAGTCAAGGCCGTGCAATTAGAATGGTTCATCGCACTGCACCGTCCTCAGTCTCTGCACTGCACCGTGATCTGTGGTATGGATGACTCAGATTCGGAATTGTTCCTCTGCGTTAGTGCTGACACATGCTGACACAGGCTGACACCATCATGCTATCTACATCTACATCTCTCGTTTCCAGACAACCAAGTCGAGGCTGGTGGAGCGGCGGAGCGGCAGAGCGGCGGAGCGCTCGATGAATCTTAATTCGACTAATTATTAGACTGGAAGGTCTTGATCTTTTAAGACTTCTTTGGCGTCATGCATCATCATGTTGAACTTGTGGACATGCTTGACTCATCTTGACTCTTCTTGCAACTAGAGCAGTTTGCTGACATGTGACATCGTGATCAAGATGCCGGTGTTTTGAAAGCTCAGAAATGCAAAGTGTCTTGGAGTTTCTTGGCTACACATTTACCACTTTTTGATTAGCGCCAAATCTTTGAGCACACCAAAACTAATCCTGGTGCACCGAACCTTGAAGTTGGCAGCAGCATCATGGGCTGATGGATTTCGGCTTGGAACCACTGACCATTGGCACAAGCGTGTAGCTTGGATTGAAGATTTGAGCAACTCGCAGTCTCAAGTGCTGAACGATCTGCATTGCGCATCAGGAGAACAGTAGCAATCATGCAGACTGGTCATTACACATCCTCAAGACTTTGGTGGGTTTGCAAAAGCGAGACTCTAAAGACGGATGGATACATATATTACATAATATACACATATTATATATATATTATTATTATTATTAATAATAATATATATATATTATTATATATATATATTATTATATATATATATTATTATATATATATATATTATATATATTATTATTAATATATATATACGTATATTATGTATCTATAATTATATAATATATAAATATAAATTATAATATATTATAATATATATCACTTTGAGGCCTCTTCCACGCAAACTTCCCAGAAGCGTCAACCTTTTCAACAAGCAATTAGAAGGGCTCTGATTCTGATCTGCTAAAACGCTTCATCTTGGCTTTCATCCTGGACGGACTGGATATTCTCGAACATCACATTGATTTTTCGGGTTTGATCA